CTTAAAACACACACACAACAGTCCACCTTAAAACACACACACAACAGTGTTGCAGAAGATGACGGCGTGGGATGGTGTCAGGTGGTGTTGGGGGGGGGGTTTGGGGGGTGGGGGGGTGTTGGGGGGGGGGGGTTTGGGTGGTGTTGGGGGGTGTTGGGGTGTTCAGGGTGTTGGGGGGTGTGTTGGGGTGGTGTTCAGGGGGTGTTGGGGGTGGTGTTCAGGTGGTGTTGGGTGGGGGTGGGTGGGGTGTCAGGGGTGTGTCAGTGGTTGTGGGGGGTGGTGTTGGGGTGGGGTGTTCAGGGGTGTTGGGGGTGGTGTTGGGGGGTGGTGTTCAGGTGGTGTTGGGGGGTGGTGTTGGGGGGGGTGTTCAGGTAGTGTTCAGGTAGTGTTCAGGTGGTGTTCAGGTGGTGTCCGGTCTGTGTTCAGTCGGTGTTTGTACCTTTCTCTTGGTGTTGCAGAAGATGACGGCCTGGGTGATGGTCAGCGTGTGTGTTGGGAGGGGGGGGGGGTGTTGGGGGGTGGTGGGGGGGTGGTGTTGGGGGGGGTGTTTCAGGGTGGGGGTGGTGTGTTCAGGTGGTGTTCAGGTGGTGTTCAGGTGGTGTCCGGTCTGTGTTCAGTCAGTGTTTTGTACCTTTCTCTTGGTGTTGCAGAAGATGACGGCCTGGGTGATGGTCAGCGTGTGTGTTGGGGGGGGTGGTGGTGGTGTTGGGGGGGGGGTGGTGGTGTTGGGGGGGGTGGGTGTTGGGGGTGTTCAGGTGGTGTCCGGTCTGTGTTCAGTCGGTGTTTGTACCTTTCTCTTGGTGTTGCAGAAGATGACGGCCTGGGTGATGGTCAGCGTGTCGTAAAGGTCACACAGAGTGTCAAACTTCCACTCCTCTCTCTCCACGGCCACGAAGAACTGCTTTATGCCCTCCAGGGTCAACTCGTCACTGAGAGGTCAGAGGTCACACAGAGGTCACACAGGGGTCACACATCCTGTCCTCCCTCTCCTCCTCCTCCTCCCCTCCTCTTCCTCCCCCTCCTCCCGTAGGACAGAGCGTTCTCACCGTTTGACGAGGATGCGGATGGGGTCAGTCATAAATTTGTTGGTCATCTCCAGGATCTCGTGGGGCAGAGTCGCACTGATCAGAACCACCTGAGTCGCAGGAGGAAGATACCGGTACACGTCATAGATCTGCTCCTTAAAACCTGGAGGAGGAGAAACGGACGGACAGACCATGAGAGGAGGAACAGAGGATGAACAGACGAACAGACCATGAGAGGAGGAACAGAGGATGAACAGACGAACAGACCATGAGAGGAGGAACAGAGGATGAACAGATGAACAGACCATGAGAGGAGGAACAGAGGATGACGAGGAGGAGGAACAGAGGACGAGGAGGAGGAACAGACGGACGAGGGGAGGAACAGACGGACGAGGGGAGGAACAGAGAATGAGAGGAGGACCCGCTAACTGCTGTTGCCATGGTGACGGGTCAGTACCTTTGTTGAGCATCTCGTCGGCTTCGTCCAGCACCAACATCTTTATGGCTCTGGTCCTGAGGCTGCGGCGCCGGATCATGTCTGAAGATAAACACACACACCAAGTCCAACCGGGTCCACACACACAGTACGTGTCTCACACACACACAGACACACACACTCACACACAGACACAGACACACACACACACACACTCTCTCTCTCTCTCTCTGCGTCTCACCGAACACTCTCCCTGGCGTTCCGGCGACCACGTGTTGGCCGTAGTCCAGTTTGCGGATGTCCTCGCCCACGTTGGTGCCGCCGATGCAGGCGTGACACTGAACGTTCATGTAGTCTCCCAGAGCCAACAGAACCTTCTGGATCTGCCCCGCCAGCTCCCGTGTCGGACCCATGATCAGAGCCTGGGTCTCCCTCACCTGGAACACACACAGGTTAGACCGGACCAGGGACCAGGGACCAGAGACCAGGGACCAGAGACCAGGGACCAGGGACCAGAGACCAGGAACCAGGGACCAGATTTATAAAACAGTGTGTAGTTGTTGTTGTTGTAAGTTGGTGTGTTCATCTGTGACCACGAGAGGCGAGAACCACAAACTCCAGATTTTAAAAAACACATATTTTTAAGTCTGTCTATGATGTGTGTGTGAACTGGTCCTGTATATAAACACATACACAAGTCCACCGCGAGCATTTCTTTAAGTTTGACGTCTTTTCTTTTCACTTTTTTCTGACCACGTGAGATGCAACGTGCCTGAGCCTCCGTGAGCTGCAGGCCCGGCCGCGGGTTCGGCCGCGGGCTCCGACTCCGGCGGCGGGCTCTGTTCGCGGGCTCTGTTCGCGGGCTCTGTTCGCGGGCTCTGTTCGCGGGCTCTGTTCGCGGCCTCTGTTCGCGGCCTCTGTTCGCGGGCCTCTGTTCGCGGCCTCTGTTCGCGGCCTCTGTTCGCGGCCTCTGTTCGCGGCCTCTGTTCGCGGCCTCTGTTCGCGGGCTCCGGCTCTGAGCTGAGCTTATTTCTTTAGTTCAGTGCTGGAGTAACTGATTTACCCAGATACCACTGGAAGAAAAAATGTGATTGGTCCATTTCCATTCCATTATATTAACCCTTTGTTTCCTAAGAAATATCAGTCCAAGTTTATAACACTGATCTACAAATTATTACTAGTGTAGTCTTCATTACTCACAGCATAAAAAATATTCAATAAATATATTAGTAGCACAAACGTCCATTCAATATTTTTTCTTGAGCCTTCCCTGAATACTTTGAAGGCTCTGACGTTCCCCTGTGAAAGAAATGCTGTTTGTACAACAAATGCTTTCATTTACATTTCCAATAAAGGAGCGCTATACTCTACTTTTTAATTCATTAATTGGTTTTGCGTATAACATGCGATTAATCACAATTAATCACTCAAACTCATGCGATTAATCGAGATAAAAAATATATATTTTTACCCAGCCCTAATATATATATAATATATATTATATATACACACACACATATATAATAAACTGCTCTTCTCCGTGTTTTGTGAACCAAACACTTAAATGCACAAATCTGAAGGTCATTCTTTTATACACGTGGATTTTCTGTTAAGTTCCTGAACAAACTCTTCCTCAATCCCTCTTCACTTCTGCTCCACGAGTGTCGCTTTTTCCCTGTGTCTCCAGACTTTGTGTAGAGTTTACGGGAGGTCCAGAGTTGGAGTAGAGTTTAGCAAAGAGCCGCACTTTAGACAAGTTTCATAAATCTCACGGCATAAAGAGCGACTACGCAAGGATTTGTGTGTAAGCGAAATTTTTAAATGAGGGCCCCTGACCAGAGACCAGAGACCGGACATGGGGTCAGACCCCCTGAGATCCTCAGACTCACCTGGATGTCGAGACACTGCAGGACGGAGATGCAGAACGTGGCGGTTTTTCCAGTTCCAGACTGAGACCTGAAACACACAAGTAAATCAGATGCCCTCCCCGAAGTGCAGGAGGCTCAGACAGGGACTGTGTGTGTGTGTTTATGTGTGTTTGCTTGTGAGTGTATGTGTGTGTGTAGATGTTGTTGTGTGTAGTTGTGTTCTTACTGTGCGATGACGTCTCGTCCTTTGATGATTTGTTTTATGGCTCGTTGTTGGATCGCAGACGGTTTCTCAAAACCTGCAACACCAAGACCAGGATCAGGATCAGGACCAGGACCAAGGTCAAAACCAGGACCAGGACCAGAGACCGGGTCAAGACCAGGACCAGGACCAGAGACTGGACACAGACCCCACGACTGATGCTCAGGGACCACAAGTCTGTGGTCCAGCACTGTACAAACAAACCCGGACTGAAACCCCAGGACTAAAGCCGGACTAAAGCCGGACTAAAGCCGGACTAAAGCCGGACTAAAGCCGGACTAAAGCCGGACCCTGGACCTGGTCACAAAGAGCCGCTCGGACTGTTGTTGTGGATTAGCTTTAGCTTTAGCTTTAGCTGCGGGGCGAACACGCGCAGCTGAGCGCGCGGAGGAAAACGTTGTACAAACACGTGACTTTATTATTCTGCATTTTTATCAAACATTTATTCACAAGAGTTCAGCTTTAACCCGGAGGCCCTCCCGGAGCCTCGGCCCGTCCCCCGGAGGCCCTCCCGGAGCCTCGGCCTCACCGTAGGCGTAGATGCCGCGCAGCAGGTCCTCTCTCAGGCCCATGGTGTCGAAGGTGGGGGTCACGTCCACCTCTTCGCTCGTCTCAAACTCCACCTTGGTCATGTCTTCGTCCTTCAGGAGGCGCTTCCTCTGGGTCCCCGCGGCGGCCATGGTGCGTGTGACCGGGACAGAGCGGCTTTATTCGGCTTTACTCGGGACAAACGCGACGGTCCACGGAGCTAACGCAGCTAACAGCTAACACACCGCAAGTGTCGCAGCAGTGACGACATCAGCCCGCGACACCAGCAGAGCCCCGCCTCCAAGAAGCCCCGCCCCTAAACACACCCGTTTATTTAAGTTCAGTTTATATAAATAAAGTTTATATACTGTTTATATAAATATTGTTTATATATACTGTATATAAACACACTATTTAAAATAAATGTGCTCCTCACCTTCACGGTGGTTGTTCTTTTTCCTCCAGCTCAGGTTCTCCAGACGTCTGGAGTTTGACAGTTCTTCAGTATCTGTGCTGTTCCTGTTCTGTTCTTTTCTGGACTGAGATGTTTGTTGTTTTTCCAGTTTGGAGGTTTCAGCCTCGAGTGTCCGATCACCACAGGCTCCACTGATGTCTTCACCTTCCAGACCTTCTCCAGCTCCTCCTTGAGCCCCTGATATTTCTCTAGTTTCTCATGTTCCTTTTTCCTGATGTTTCCATCTCTTGGTGTTGTGATGTTCCAACACGGCTCTGCTCTGTTCTTCTCCACCTCCACTATGTCTGGTTGGTCCATCTCCATCCTGTCAGTCTGTATCTGAAGTCCCACAGGATCTTGGCTCGGTCGTTCTCCACAACCTTTGGAGGTGTTTCCCACCTTGATCCTGGGGTCTCCAGCCCGAACTCTGCACAGATGTTTCTGTACATTCTGCCCGCCTCTTGGTTCTGTGGCTCCATGTTTGTTTCCCTGCAGCATCTGACACCTGCAGTTCTGTGCTGGACTGTCTCAGAGCCTCTGTGCACAGTCGACACCGTGGGTCTGGTCTGGTGTGGTAGATCTGGAGCTCTGTTGCTCTGGTGCTCAGGTCCTGCTCCTGAGCTCCAGGATGAACCTCTGTGTGTCCTTCAGACCCTCTCAAGACATTGGGAGGATTTCTTGATATCAGCCTCTTCAGTTATGTTCCGGTGGTTCGTGTAGGGGTTTGTCCTGTCATGATGGTCCCTCCAGCTCCCCTTCCTCTAGACCCCACTGTCTGAGACATTTTCTGAGCTCCTCATCTGTCGGGGCCTTGTCCTTGATGTTCTCAAGGAGCTTGGATGTTTCATCCTGGACAGTGGTTCCACACTCACTAGTCTTCAGCCTCCTTCCTTCTGGCTTGCGCACAGTCTCAGGGAACTGGATTTGGGATGAACCCTCCACATGGTCAGGAGCTTTCATGTCTTAACATCTGTGTCTGTATCTCCTCCTTTGGCCAGTGCATGATTCCTGCAGGATTTGATCACTGACAGAGTGGAGATGTTTACTGCCTGGGCCTTGTTCTTCCATTGAGCTGCTTCTTAGGACTTGTCTCACTCGTTGCAGGTATTTGGACGTAGCCTCTTTCCTTGTTGCCTCTGGGATACAGAGGCACTTGTAACTGTCCAACGTCTGTGTGTTCTATTGTTCTCTCTGTGTGTTCTACTCTCTGTGTGTTCTACCTACTCTCTGTGTGTTCTTCTCTCTGTGTGTTCTACCTACTCTCTGTGTGTTCTACCTTCTCTCTGTGTATTCTACTCTCTGTGTGTTCTACTTACTCTCTGTGTGTTCTACCTACTCTCTGTGTGTTCTACTCTCTGTGTGTTCTACCTACTCTCTGTGTGTTCTTCTCTCTGTGTGTTCTACCTACTCTCTGTGTGTTCTACTCTGTGTGTACTCTCTGTGTGTATTCTACTCTCTGTGTGTTCTACCTACTCTCTGTGTGTTCTACCTACTCTCTGTGTGTTCTACTCTCTGTGTGTTCTACCTACTCTCTGTGTGTTCTTCTCTCTGTGTGTTCTACCTACTCTCTGTGTGTTCTCTACCTTCTCTCTGTGTGTTCTTCTCTCTGTGTGTGTTCTACCTACTCTCTGTGTGTTCTTCTCTCTGTGTGTTCTACCTTCTCTCTGTGTGTTTTACCTTCTCTCTGTGTGTTCTACCTTCTCTCTGTGTGTTCTACTCTCTGTGTGTTCTACCTTCTCTCTGTGTGTTCTTCTCTCTGTGTGTTCTACCTTCTCTCTGTGTGTTCTTCTCTCTGTGTGTTCTACTCTGTGTGTTCTACTCTCTGTGTGTTCTACCTACTCTCTGTGTGTTCTACTCTGTGTCTTCTACTCTCTGTGTGTTCTACTCTGTGTGTTCTACTCTCTGTGTGTTCTACCTACTCTCTGTGTGTTCTACTCTGTGTGTTCTACTCTCTGTGTGTTCTACCTACTCTCTGTGTGTTCTACTCTGTGTGTTCTACTCTCTGTGTGTTCTACCTACTCTCTGTGTGTTCTACCTTCTCTCTGTGTGTTCTACTCTCTGTGTGTTCCTCTCTGTGTGTTCTACTCTCTGTGTGTTCTACCTACTCTCTGTGTGTTCTACCTTCTCTCTCTTCCACCAAATTAGATTTTTAATGGTTAAAGTGGCAAACTGAAGGTCAGAAGATGGTTTAGTTTCCCCTGAAGCAGGGGTGTCAAACTCATTTTGGTCCGGGGGCCGTATCCAACCTACTTTGATCCCAAAGGGGCCGGATCAGAAAACTCATGGCATATACACCCCAAAAATAACAATAAGTTCAAATATTTGTGCAGAGAAACGCAAATCTATTACAGAAATCTTAATATTATGAACAACCTGAAACTTTAAGAAAAATTCAATTTCAACATTTAAAATATTTTAGAAGAAAATCATCCAAGGGCCACATTAAAGGTCTTGGAGGGCCGGATCTGGCCCCCGGGCCGTATGTTTGACACCTGTGCCCTAAAGCGTAACAGGCTCATGTGTTTAGTTCCACTGTTCATCAGGTACAACGAGAAGGAGATCAGATAAACGTTTGGCTCTGACGGGAGCTGAAGACACAAGGTCACGTGAAGGTCACGTGACACACTGAAGCGCGAGGGTCAGGTGTATAATAGTTTTTATTTCACAGATCTTAAATTCACAAACTCTGAAACTCAGATCAGAAAGAGTTTTAAACATGGCACCGTCTTCACCGTCTTCACCACATCAGCACAAACACGGCACGAATATGCAAATCAGTATGCAAATGACTATGCAGATTATTATGCAAATCACCACTTTAAATAAACAAACACCACGTCACTGAAACTAAACACACTTTTTGAACAAACAAAAAGATTCAAATGATTTGGCACAAAACCAGCAAACATTTAACTTTCTAATAAAATACTGTTTTAGGGTCTATCAACAAGGTCCTGGTTCAGTCCCGGTTTAGTTCTGGTCTAATCCTGGTTCAGTCCTGGTTTCTAACCCTGACCCTGATCTAGTCGGACCAGTCCTGGTCCTGCTCGGTCTCAGACTCGGACTCGCTGTACTCGACGGCGATGCGTCGGGACAAAATGGTGGCCACGTCGTTTCCTGTGGGCTCCCGCTTCTCCTCCTGCTCCCGCTGCTCCTGCACCTGCCGCAGACGGATCCCTGCAAGACAGGACCGCGACAGGGTCAAAACCGGGACCGCGTCAGGGTCAAGACCGGGACCGCGACAGGGTCAAGACCGGGACCGCGACAGGGTCAAGTCCAAGACCGCGACAGGGTCAAGACAGGACCGCGACACACGCACACACAGACACACACACACAAGCAGTGTCTTGCCTAAGGACACAACCACAGTTTTTTCTGTGGCATCTCCTGTGGCTCCTGATGTTCCCAGTGTCTCCATCCAAATCCAGACCTGAGCTCCTGAGATCTGACCCCAGATCAGGTCTGGGTCTGGGCTGGACCTGTGGTACTGCAGGAGTACTACCTTTTGGGGAGGAGTTACCTTTAGGGGGAGGAGTTACCTTTAGGGGAGGAGTTACCTTTAGGGGAGGAGTTACCTTTAGGGGAGGAGTTACCTTTAGGGGGAGGAGTTACCTTTAGGGGAGGAGTTACCTTTAGGGGAGGAGTTATCTTTATGGGGAGGAGTTACCTTTAGGAGAGGAGTTATCTTTAGGGGGAGGAGTTACCTTTAGGGGAGGAGTTACCTTTAGGGGAGGAGTTATCTTTATGGGGAGGAGTTACCTTTAGGAGAGGAGTTATCTTTAGGGGGAGGAGTTACCTTTAGGGGAGGAGTTATCTTTATGGGGAGGAGTTACCTTTATGGGGAGGAGTTACCTTTAGGAGAGGAGTTATCTTTAGGGGGAGGAGTTACCTTTAGGGGAGGAGTTATCTTTATGGGGAGGAGTTACCTTTAGGGGGAGGAGTTACCTTTAGGGGAGGAGCTTTGACAGGAGGTGTGGTCACAGTATTATTAGTAGTATTACTACTAGCGCAGTGGTATTTGCAGTACTTTGTGTTAAAGTGGCTGACACTGTCATCTGTACTGTAGTATTAGTATTCGTGGAACTGTAGTAGGTCGCTGCTGTAGTACTAGCAGTAGTAGTAGTAGTAGTAGCAGTAGTAGTAGTAGTAGTAGTAGTAGTAGTAGTAGTAGTAGTAGTAGTAGTAGTAGTAGCAGTAGTAGTAGTAGTAGTAGTAGTAGTAGTAGTAGTAGTAGTAGTAGTAGTAGTAGTAGCAGCAGTAGCAGTAGTAGTAGTAGTAGTAGTAGTAGTAGTAGTAGTAGTAGTAGTAGTAGTAGTAGCAGTAGTAGCAGTAGTAGTAGTAGTAGCAGTAGCAGTAGTAGTAGTAGTAGCAGTAGCAGTAGCAGTAGCAGTAGTAGTAGTAGTAGTAGCAGTAGTAGTAGCAGTAGTAGTAGTAGTAGTAGTAGTAGTAGTAGTAGTAGTAGTAGTAGTAGTAGTAGTAGTAGCAGTAGTAGTAGTAGTAGTAGTAGTAGTAGCAGTAGTAGTAGTAGTAGTAGCAGTAGTAGTAGTAGCAGTAGTAGCAGTAGTAGTAGTAGTAGTAGTAGTAGTAGCAGTAGTAGTAGCAGTAGTAGTAGTAGTAGTAGTAGTAGTAGTAGTAGCAGTAGTAGTAGTAGTAGCAGTAGTAGTAGTAGTAGTAGTAGTAGTAGTAGTAGCAGTAGTAGTAGCATAGTAGTAGTAGTAGTAGTAGTAGTAGTAGTAGTAGTAGTAGTAGTAGTAGTAGTAGCAGTAGTAGTAGCAGTAGTAGTAGTAATAGTAGTAGTAGTAGTACCTCGGCGTATTGCAGCCAGCAGGTCGCTCCGCGCGTCGTTCATGGGGAAGTTGGGTCCCAGAAGTTTCCTCTCGGTTCCCACGGCGACCGAAGGTTTCCTGTCCGTCACCACGGCGACAGGGGGCGGGGAGGCGGGGTTTAAGGGGGGCGGAGCCGGAGGGGAGGGGCTAAAAGGCCTCGCAGCGCCTCCTACAGGAAACACAGGGCAGTGCAGTTAATATTTACACACACAGAAACCACTGCAGTACAGGAAGTACTGTACGAGTACTTCTGCCGTAGTACTGCAGTAGTGTATGAGTTACCTGTGTTGGGGGAGGAGTCACCTTGTTAGGGGAGGAGTTACCTGTGTTGGGGGAGGAGTCACCTTGTTGGGGGAGGAGTTACCTGTGTTGAGGGAGGAGTTACCTGTGTTGGGGGAGGAGTTACCTGTGTTGAGGGAGGAGTTACCTGTGTTGGGGGAGGAGTTACCTGTGTTGGGGGAGGAGTTACCTGTGTTGGCGGCGGCGGGGGTGTGCATTGCCGTGGCAGCTGCAGAGTGGGCGGGACTGTTGGAGAAGGTCACATGACCAGGTGTGGTCATGAGGGGAGGGGGAGGGGGCGGAGCCGGAGGCACCTGTGGGAGGGCATCACTGTGAAACAGGAAGAGAGAAACACAGAAATATCAATAGAATAAATATAAATATAAACATAAATATTATAAATATGAATATAATACATATAATAAACATAAATATTATAAATATAAACATAAATATAAAATATTTATAATAAATATTATAAATATGAATATAATAAATATAATAAACATAAATATAAATCACTCTGAGACAGTTGTTTGTGGCTCATTCTAACAGAGCCGCAGACAGAGCAGTGCCTCCTCCTCCCTGTGAATGTTCTGGTTCTGGTTCCATTGGGGTGTGTGAGTGTGGGTTCTGGTTCTGTTTTGTACTTGTCTTTGGTGGCGACCCGTGCTGCGCTGTGATTGGCCGGGGCGGGGGGCGGGGCCTGCTGCTGGTGCTGTGATTGGTTGCGTCCCAGAGAGTGCTGCCTGCTGGAGGCGGGGTTTGTGGTACTGGGTCTCAGAGCCCGGTCCAAGGACTGGGTCTGGACCACGTCCTTCAGGGACCCTCCAGAACCGGACCTGGACCAGAGAGAGACCGGGGTTAGACCAGAGACCAGACCAGAGACCGGATCAGGGGGCGGGGTTACCTGTCGGGGGAGGAGTCGTACGGCGAAGGTGACACTCGGGCGTCCGGGCGCAGCTCTTTGTCGTACGCCATCAGATTCCACTCCTGACGACGATTACGCGCCTTCCTCACCTGCACACAACGCACAACACACACCTGAACACACAACACACACCTGAACACACAACACACACACCTGAACACACAACACACACCTGAACACACACAACACACACCTGACACACACAACACACTGAACACACACCTGACACACACACACCTGAACACACACACACCTGAACACACACACACCTGAACACACACCTGAACACACACACACCTGAACACACAACACACACCTGAACACACACCTGAACAACACACACACCTGAACACACAACACACACCTGAACACACACACACACCTGAACACACACCACACACCTGAACACACACCACACACACCAACACACACCTGAACACACAACACACACCTGAACACACACCTGAACACACAACACACACCTGAACACACACCTGCACAACACACACCTGAACACACAACGCACAACACACACCTGAACACACACCACACACCTGAACACACAACACACACCTGAACACACAACACACACCTGACACACACACAAACACACACCTGAACACACACCTGACACACACACACACACACCTGAACACACACCTGAACAACACACACACCTGAACACACAACACACACCTGAACACACACCTGAACACACAACACACACCTGAACACACAACACACACCTGAACACACACCTGAACACACACACACACACACACACTGAACACACACTGACACACACAACACACACAACACACACCTGAACACACAACACACACCTGAACACACACCTGAACACACAACACACACCTGAACACACAACACACACAACACACACCTGAACACACACCACACACACAACACACAACACACACCTGAACGCACAACACACACTGACACACACACACACACACTGACACACCAACACACACACACACCTGAACACACAACACACACCTGAACACACAACACACACCTGAACACACACCTGAACACACAACACACACCTGAACACACACACACACCTGAACACACACCTGACACACACACCTGAACACACAACACACACCTGAACGCACAACACACACCTGAACACACAACACACACCTGAACACACAACGCACACCTGAACACACAACGCACACCTGAACACACAACACACCTGAACACACAACACACACCTGAACACACAACACACACCTGAACACACAACACACACCTGAACACACACCTGAACACACAATACACACCTGAACACACAACACACACCTGAACACACCCCTGAACGCACAACACACACCTGAACACACAACACACACCTGAACACACACACACACACCTGAACACAAAAAAAGTACTCAGTCTTGTCAGAGGTCGTGTTAAAGGTGAGGTCAGAGGTCGTGTTAAAGGTGAGGTCAGAGGTCGTGTTGAAGGTGAGGTCAGAGGTCGTGTTAAAGGTGAGGTCAGAGGTTGTTACCTTCTTGACCTCTCGACCCGATGTCTCGTCTGTGTTTTTCTGCTCCTGGAAAAACAAAAAAACTGTTAACCAAACAACCCCCCCCGCCGCACGGTCCCGCCCCAGCGCCCTGCGGTCCCCCCCCGCCGCACTGTTTTGCGTGGGGTCCCGTGGGAGGGCAGGGCTCTAGCCGGGGGTCTGGTCCTTGGTCTCGTGTCGTCCTCCAGGAGCGTTGGTCCAGAGGCTCCGTCCTCCATGTCCTGGTTCCGGACGAGGGCGAGTAAGACCAGTGCGCAGCGGACCGGGTCCGAGCAGTATCGTGCCGTCGTCTTCGCTGCTTCGGGTCAAGACACCGAACATCAGTCCCCGCTCCAGCTCCTTTGACCCGGACAGAACCAGAGCTGCTCCCGCTGGGTCAGGACTCTGGGTCAGGACTCTGGGTCAGGACTCTGGTTTGGATCTCGTCGGACTGGAGCATTTCTCACACGAGGCTAAATGCAGTACTTTTTTCATGCAGTAGTATTATAGTAAAAGTACCTTGTGCCTGCGTTTCTCTTTCCTCTTGTTCTCTGTGGCCTGCAGCATTTTTTCTCTCCACAAACTGAAGAAATACGACGGGTCTGTGTAGAACTTCATCCCGTCTTTACCGTCGTCCCTGACAACACATATGCAAATGAGGCACCGACATATGCAAATGAGGCACTAATGTATGCAAATGAGGCACTGACGTATGCAAATGAGGCACCAATATATGCAAATGAGGCACTGACGTATGCAAATGATGCCTTGCCAGAGGCCCAGTGACAGGGCCTCACCTGTACGGCGTGAGCAGGTGCAGTGACAGGGCCTCACCTGTACGGCGTGAGCAGGTGCAGTGACAGGGCCTCACCTGTACGGCGTGAGCAGGTGCAGTGACAGGGCCTCACCTGTACGGCGTGAGCAGGTGCAGGGGTGGTGGGGGGTCGCAGCGCTCGTACGTCTCCAGCAGAGGGCGCAGGATGGAAGCTCGAGACACCACCTGCTGGTCCTGAACGGTACTGCCCCTGAACGCTTTCCTCATGTTGATGTCCTGAAGAGACACTGGAGACCGAGACAGGACTTAGACCGGGTCTGGACCAGGTTTAGATCTGCTTTAGTCCCGTTATAATCCTGGTTTAGTCCTGGTTTAGTCCTGGTTCAGTCCTGGTTTAGTTCTGGTTTAGTCCTGGTTCAGTCCTGGTTTAGTTCTGGTTTAGTCCTGGTTCAGTCCTGGTTCAGTCCTGGTTTAGTTCTGGTTTAGTCCTGGTTCAGTTCTGGTTTAGTTCTGGTTTAGTCCTGGTTCAGTTCTGGTTTAGTCCTGGTTTAGTTCTGACCTTCTTCCACTGTAGAGTCCAGTTCTGTGACTTTGACACTCAGAGAATCGACTCGTTCCTGAAGCGACGTCATTCGAATCGAAACGCCACGAGCCTCCGAGAAAAGGAGCGCGAACACGTCCTCCGCGTGACGGCCTGAAGGACACAAGTACACGAGTATAAGGACACAAGTACACGAGTGAAGGACACAAGTACACGAGTGAAGGACACAAGTACACGAGTGAAGGACACAAGTACACGAGTAGAAGGACACAAGTACACGAGTGAAGGACACAAGTACACGAGTAGAAGGACACAAGTACACGAGTGAAGGACACAAGTACACGAGTAAGGACACAAGTACACGAGTATAAGGACACAAGTACACGAGTATAAGGACACAATCGAGTGAAGGACACAAGTAACGAGTATAAGGAACAAGTAGTATAAGGACACAAGTACACGAGTGAAGGACACAAGTACACGAGTATAAGGACACAAGTACACGAGTATAAGGACACAAGTACACGATAAGGACACAAGTACACACGAGTATAAGGCACAAGTATAAGGACACAAGTACACGAGTATAAGGACACGAGTATAAGGACACAAGTACACGAGTATAAGGACACAAGTACACGAGTATAAGGACACAAGTACACGAGTATAAGGGCACAAGTACACGAGTATAAGGACACAAGTACACAAGTGAAGGACACAAGTACACGAGTATAAGGACACAAGTACACAAGTGAAGGACACAAGTACACGAGTATAAGGACACAAGTACACGAGTATAAGGACACGAGTACACAAGTATAAGGACACAAGTACACAAGTATAAGGGCACAAGTACATGAGTATAAGGACACAAGTACACGAGTATAAGGACACAAGTATAAGGACACAAGTACACGAGTATAAGGACACAAGTACACGAGTATAAGGACACAAGTATAAGGACACAAGTATAAGGACACAAGTATAAGGACACAAGTACACGAGTATAAGGACACAAGTACATGAGTATAAGGACACAAAAACACAAGTATAAGGACATAAGTACACAAGTATAAGGACTCAAGTACACATAGTAGTAGTAGTAGTAGTAGAAGTAGTAGTAGTAGTAGCAGTAGTAGCAGTAGTAGTACTCACTGAGCGTGGATAGTTGTCTGATGACAGAGGACAGGGTGCTGTTGGTCACACACTCGAGCTCAGAGGACACGCCTTCTGGGACGGCGCCGCGGCACAAGAACCGCGGCTCGATGCACCGGGTCACCAGAGGCATGCTGAGGTCAGGGGTCACTGAGGGGTCAGGGGTCACTGGGGTCAGGGGTCACTGAGCAGAGCCGGGGCAGGTGCAGGTCTTGGATTCTGGGTCTGGTCTTGATCCGGGTCCTGGGTCTTGGTTCTGGTCAGGATCAGACACAGATCACTTTATATATTACAGAGAGTGTGTGTGTGTGTGTGTCTGTGTGTGTGTGTGTGTGTGTGTGTCTGTGTGTGTGTGTGTGTGTCTGTGTGTGTGTGTGTCTGTGTGTGTGTGTGTCTGTGTGTGTGTCTGTGTGTGTGTGTCTGTGTGTCTGTGTGTGTGTGTGTGTCTGTGTGTGTGTGTGTGTGTGTGTGTGTCTGTGTGTGTGTCTGTGTGTGTGTGTCTGTGTGTGTGTGTGTGTGTGTGTGTGTGTGTGTCTGTGTGTGTGTGTGTGTGTGTGTGTGTGTGTGTGTGTGTCTGTGTGTGTGTGTGTGTGTGTGTGTGTGTGTGTGTGTGTGTGTGTGTGTGTGTGTGTCTGTGTGTGTATGTGTGTGTGTATGTGTGTGTGTCTGTGTGTGTGTGTGTGTGTGTGTCTGTGTGTGTGTGTCTGTGTGTGTGTGTCTGTGTGTGTGTGTGTGTGTGTGTGTGTGTGTGTGTGTGTGTGTGTCTGTGTGTGTGTGTGTGTGTGTGTGTGTGTGTGTGTCTGTGTGTGTCTGTGTGTGTGTGTCTGTGTGTGTGTGTCGTGTGTGTGTGTGTGTGTGTGTGTGTGTGTCTGTGTGTGTGTGTGTGTGTGTGTGTGTGTCTGTGTGTGTGTGTGTGTGTGTGTGTCTGTGTGTGTGTGTGTGTGTCTGTGTGTGTGTGTGTGTGTGTGTGTGTGTGTGTGTGTGTGTATGTGTGTGTGTCTGTGTGTGTGTGTGCCTGTGTGTGTGTGTGTGTGTGTCTGTGTGTTTGTAGAAGCAGCAGCCATTTTGTGTGAATCAGGCCTCAGCTGTTTCCATGGAAACAGCCTCACTGAAAACTCACTACTACTACAGTACTACTATAGTACTACAGTACTACTACAGTACTACTACAGTACTACACTACTACTACAGTACTACTATAGTACTACAGTACTACTACAGTACTACAGTACCACTACAGTACTACTATAGTACGACTACAGTACTACACTACTACTATAGTAGTACTCTAGTACTACAGCACTACTACAGAGTGCATACTACACAAACACACTCTACACTCACATACTAATGTACTACAAACACTACTACATCCCTCTGAATACTACAGTACTCTGAATACTGCAGTACTGACAGTACTGACAGGAGCCACAGACTCACCTGAGTCTTCACTCAGACCAACAAAACCAACATGTCTGTAGACCTGGATCAGTCCTGGTTTAGTCCTGGTTTAGTCCTGGTTTAGTCCTGGTTTAGTCCTGGTTCAGACTTGGTTTAGTCCTGGTTTAGACCTGGTTTAGTCTTGGTTTAGACCTGGTCTAGTCCTGGTTCAGTCCTGGTTTAGTCCTGGTTCAGACCTGGTTTAGTCCTGGTTCAGACCTGGTTTAGTCCTGGTTTAGTCCTGGTTTAGACCTGGTTTAGTTCTGGTTTAGACCTGCTTTAGTCCTGGTTCAGACCTGGTTTAGTCCTGGTTTAGTCCTGGTTCAGACCTGGTTTAGTCCTGGTTTAGTCCTGGTTTAGTCCTGGTTTAGACCTGGTTTAGTCCTGGTTTAGTCCTGTTTAGACCTGGTTTAGTTCTGGTTTAGACCTGGTTTAGTCCTGGTTCAGACCTGGTCTCTGGTATCGGTCTCGTGTGGTACCATTACGTCATGATCCGGTGCGCGTGAACCGCAGAGCGCGTGCGTGTGCCGTTACCGTGTGTCTCGCGCTCTCCCGCTGCTCGGCGCAGATCAGAGCCCCGGGAGCGGCTCCGGTGGCTCCGGTGTCCGCGGCTCCGGTGTTTGCGGCTCCGGTGTCCGCGGCTCCGGTGTCCGCGGCTCCGTATCTGCGGCTCCGGTGTTTGCGGGTCTTCCTCTCACCGCTGCCGCATCAGAGCGCCTCCTCCGCGGCCACAGCGCGCCTCTGCCCCCGGAGCACCGCACCGCTCCACCGCGCGGCTGCGCTCGGGAATCTCCGGAAACACTCGGCTGCGCTCGGGAATCTCCGGAAACACTCGGCTGCGCTCGGGAATCTCCGGAAACACTCGGCTGCGCTCGGGAGTCTCCGGAAACACTCGGCTGCGCTCGGGAGTCTCCGGAAACACTCGGCTGCGCTCGTGTGTTATAAATGTTTTTGTGTCGGTGTGAGTCACATTTTATTTATCGATCGTTTATTTCTGAGGTTTGTTCACACTCGGGTCACAAACTGTTACTTTTTCTTCTTCTCTGTGGTTAAACTCCTGCTGTAGCCACAGCTGCCCTGGGGCAGACTGACAGAACTGATGCTGCCAATCTGCACCATCGGCTCCTCACACACACACACACACACACACTCTCACACACACACACACACACACACTCCAATCCAATGTTTGTGTTTTGTACAAATCTCAGAAAAAAAACCAAAACAAAAAAACATTTTTCCCCTGACGTTTCACCGTGAAACACACAAACCCTTTTCTGGAGTCTCAGTTTTTATTCATTTTATTTTATTTTTGTTGTGCAACAGAGCAGCTCAAATGAGGCAAAAAACAGTCACTGCAACAGTCACGCAAACAGGCTAAAGCCTCACTGCGGGACATTTCACACATTAGAACAGGGTTAGAGGAAATACTCCTGGATGCAGGTGGATTAGACCAGGTCCAGACCCGGTCCAGACCCGGTCCAGACCCGGTCCAGACCCGGGCTACAGTCGGGCGCACTCGAAGTCGGAGCCGGTCTCGGAAGGGGAGGGCATGTGGGCTTCGGGGAGGGGGGGGTAGGGGTTGGGCACCTCGAGCTGGTGGGCGGGGTCTGGGGGCAGTTTGGGGCGGTGCTTGGGTCTCCGCCTGGGTCCCTGGTCCGGTCTGAGCCCGGTCTTGGTCCTGGTCGGGTTCCTGGCGCAGGGCAGCAGCACGAACACGTCTCGTCTGAACTTGGAGTTGAGTCCGAAGTAAATGAGCGGGTTGTAGAAGGACGCGGACTTGGCGAAGAGCCGCGTGAAGATGCTGGTCAGGTTTGGAACGGCAAAACCGCACGCCGACCACAGACTGACCACGGCGTACGGGGACCACGCCAAGATGAACGCCGTGCAGATCACGATGGACACCTGACACACATTTACACTAGATACATAAAAGTGAAAGTGAAAGTGAAAGTGTGCTCTTTAAATCCTTTGGGAGTTTTTCTGGAGTTTTCAGATTACCTTAAATGTTTTTTTGTCAGCGTTTGTTAACGTTTGCTTTTTGTCTCCATGGTAATACTCGTGGTCTACGGCAAGGTTCCATAAAATACTTTAATCGTCTCATCATCTTAAGTGATGTGTTTAAAGTGTAAAGTTTATTTTCTATTCACATGAACGTGAAGATCAGGTTTGAAACGGTTTTGGATTTAAGGAAAGATTCAATCAATCCCTAAACCTGGAAACACTACACCTGGAAAAAAAAACACGTGCTGATGTTTGTAAAGAACATCAGCCCAAAGTCTGTTGCTATGGCGATAACGTCATAGAAAAAAAAAAAAAGGCTCAGAAATAAACAAGACAAGAAATAAAATACGACATCAAACATCAGCGACAAACAAAAGAGTCAAACACAGATCACACGAGAATAAAGTCTGCACGCCACTTTACACACTATATAATACTATATATAATACACTATATAAACTATATATAACACACTCTTTACACTCTATAATCACTTCTCTATATAACACACTATATACACCATATATACTGTATATAACACTCTTCTCTAACACCTGACAGATGCAGACAGGTGCAGACAGGTGCAGACAGGTGCAGACTCACTGTATAAAAGACATTTAGTCTTGTTATATATTAGTTGTTGTTTGTTGTTATACTCTTTCTCACCACAAGAGGGGTGCGCCTGCACACCGAGTGAGTCACGAACTCTTGAGTCAGTATAGCGGCGTGACGCTCAGTGCATCGGCTGTGTTTCGGACACTTTAATGTCTGAATGATAGTGTGCGTCCTTTAGACGTGAGTTCTGGTGTGAGTATGAGTGGTATTATGTTCAAAGTTTGTAGCTGTTGTTTGACTGTGTTTTGTGCAGTTTAGAAATCTTTGTGCGTGACTTTCGTTTTGTATTGCTAGCTAGCCTCGTGTCTATGTAATTGCGCATTGTGTGTACGTTAGAATACCGTTTTTTCCTTTACTTCACAAACCCCAGTAACCATCTGTTATATTTATATATGCAGTTTCCTTTGTATTAAACCTGGGTAATTTGATTTGGATCTGTTTATATCTAAACTGCACCGAACATATTGGCCCCTATCGGCCACTTTGTAGTTTGCAGTATTGTGTAAATAATCACAATCAACCACCATTTTGATTTATTACTGCTATATTGTTTGTATTTGTTTGTTCTTTCTCCTGTAGAGAACCACACACACACACGTGTTTCAGCACGCAGACATTAAAGAAACGTTCAACATTACCTGGATGTGGACTCCCTCATTTTAACTCACCAGAACGTCTATAATTGCTGTCCTGACCCGACACCCTGTAGTGACTGCAAACCACCACTCCAGTTTTCTCATATTGTACAATCCTCATTTCACTCACTATGGTCACGTCGCGCTCCATCTTCCTCTGTCGGTCGCTCAGCTCGTCGCGCTCGGACGAGAGGGCGTGGCCTCGTTTCACCGTCCGGATGATTGACACGTAGCAGAAGATCATGACCAGAACCGGAACAAAGAACTGGGTCACGACCAGAGCCCAGATGTAAGACCGGGCCAGGACCGAGACCGCCGCCTGGGCCCAGTCCACCTCACACGTCCCATAGCCCCTGTCTGACAGGTGAGAGAACAACTTTTACTCCTGCGGTGTTACACGGGAACTTTTACTCCTGCGGTGTTACACGGGAACTTTTACTCCTGCGGTGTTACACGGGAACTTTTACTCCTGCGGTGTTACACGGGAACTTTTACTTCTCTGGGGTATGACATGTTTTACATGTTTTAAATATTTTACGTGTTTTAAATATTTTATATGTTTCAGTTTCAGTTTTGTTGCTCTGAGTCTCTTCTCTCGTTGCTCTCTGTGCTGAGTCCCTCCCCCTTCAGAGTGTCACACTAATAAAACTCCTGCACAAACAGCAGGTTTGTCCAGTTGTTGTTTTCAG